GGAAAATCAGCAGTGCTAATTTAACACCTGCAGAGCCAATACTTTAGCTCTGCAAGTGCTAAATCGAGTTAAAACTACACTTTTGAAAGTGCTTAATATGTAACACTAGGGCAGAGTTCCAGCAACTCTCTAATTAGTTAACATTTAACACTAGTCAACACTGGCAGAGATGGCAAAAGTACTCACTTTCCTACTTTAGTAAAAGTACAGATACTTGTGTTAAAAAATACTCTGGTAAAAGTGGAAGTACTGATTAAACTTTTTTACTCAAGTAAAAGTAACAAAGTACAGGCTTGTAAATTTACTTAAAGTATAAAAGTAAAAGTAGAAACCACTTTTTTCATGCCGTTGCCTACATTTTAAATGGATGTCTGCCAATAGGACTAGATCTCCGTTGTGTTCATTTTCAATCACCTCGTCGTCCATACTACTATGCTAACGCCACCGCCACCAAGCTGCAATGATTTGCCGCGAATGAATACCGCTGAATCTGTCGATTCATCTTGTAGTGGTGCGTCAAATGCAACGTAGATTCCCATCCAATTAGATTGAATTTGGTATTGATGACGTGAAAAATAATAACGGTAACTCCATTCATTCATAACTAAAGTAACGAGCCAATTTTTTAAAATGTAAGGAGTAGAAAGTACAGATATTTGTGTAAAAATGTAAGGAGTAGAAGTAAAAAGTCGCCATAAAAATAAGTAGTAAAGTAAAAATATCAGAAAAATCTACTTGAGTACAGTAAGGAAGTATTTGTACTTTGTTACTTCCCATCTCTGAACACTGGTTAGTGTTGAATTTACCCAATACCAGTGTGTAGTGACCAAATGTGTATTCTTCTTTCAACAATACAGAGTTGTTGCCATATTAACACTGTATAGGATGTACCGTTTCACATAAAATGCATCTTTTGTAGAATTGATCTGCGTGGATATGTTATGCTGTTGTGAATCAATTTGCTGTCGTCCCACACACAGTAAAATACTTTACAAAACAGACAAAAACAGGTAAATTGTAGTTCAGGTGACATTGTATTAAATAAAGCACCCCTTCCATAACAAAGCATTGGCTTTGCATTAACAATGAACAAAGAATCCTTTAGCCCCGGTCAAACAAAATGACAATGTGGCACTGCATATGTTTTTCATCCAACTCATTAGAAAACTGTTTGTTATACGGTCTGTAATAAATCAAGTCATCAATAGAAATAACAGAAAAGGAAACAGCTTCCTCCTTAATACAACATGCATTAAAGTGGTCATCAAAATAAAGTGTCAACTCTGGATGTCAAAATAAAAGCTTAGTTTTCATTATTAATAATAATCATTTGTGATATTTCTAAACACAGGAATTTCCATATCTGTTGTAATACAAACAATCATACCAATCTAATGCTGAGTTCCAAAGTTTTTCACCCAATGTATGTAGGTGGATCTAGTCTTGCTATGAAGACGGTACAATTTCAGCTGCTACATTTGCTTTGGTTTTATAAAGTTGAGCTTTGATTATTTTTAAGTTCTCTTAATATCTTCCTCATTTTGTTGGATTTAAACATATATTAGACTCATTTTTCAATTATGATAACTAAATCCTTCTCTGTGTCATGTCATATGAAAACAAACTGTTTAAGTTCAAGTTGATTAAAGGTTTAGACAATAACTAACTGTAACAAGTAACTTATAGTTAGGCAGGGTCACATGAATAACAAAAAAAATAATCATTTTTACTTACTGTTATGAGGCAGTCAGATTATTGATCACATTTCTTTAGTCTGACAGACATTGACAAACAGTTTGTCAGAGCAAAAACGGTGAAACAAATTAATCTAATGTAAAATTAACATAGTATATGAGATTGTTTTGTTCATTTCTGTTTATTCGTTCAACATTTTTATATGCACAATTTTCTAAATAAAACATTTGGAACACTATAAAATTAAAAGCTTTTCTACACAGCTTTAAACCTTTACTTACATCACATAATGTTATATAAACACTCAAAGGATAATCTTATCTAACGTACTGTGCTCATAATTCCCTGTAACGCAGACAGTTTATGTCAAAGGTGACGATGGGATTATAATGTAGGCTATTTGTCTATACAAGGAATTCTTTTTCTAATCCCTGAACATAGAGGATTTATGTTTGACAAAGGCACAATGGTTATATCACAGTTTGCATGTAAAATCTTTAATCTGACTGCTTGGATTCTTTTCTATGATTTTATATAGATCTATTGATACCAGTATTGCTGTTGTTGTATTTCATCTTTTAGACTTTGTTTTTGTTGAGTTAGGCTGTCCTCATCACTGTTATCTAATGTTTGTTTGTGTGATTTTGCAAGGAAACTTCTGGAAAGTTAAAGATCAAATGTGGGGCTCATCAGGGTTCTGATTTCAAGCCATTTACATTTAAAATGTAGATCTACCTTATGGAGATCTAACCATCATTTCTAACCATATGCTGATAATACACAACAGTACACATGATGGGCATCATCTTCAAAGATGAAGGGACACTAAATTACATATGATTTTTTTCTTTGTGCATGCATTAAGTGGGTGTGTTGTTGTTGATCTATGTTAAAACGTGCAGACTGGTTTGGTTGTACCCCAATTAAAATACCGTAAGCAAAATGATAGCGACAGTTTGAGAGAGGCAGTAACAGAAAGATGAGGTTCCAAGTCATGTAGTTAGAGGATACGATGGCAATTACGGTATTGTTTAAATAATAACGACAATAAAAATAATGACAATAGCACTTCATATGATTTAAAGTGCACTTCACATTGGCTGCCTGGTAAGTGGATTTATCCTTGCCAGGTCTTGTCTGCAGCAGCTTTACCTGATACACACTGGATCAACCTGATACAATACTTGGCACGATACTTGGGTGATGATACAATATTATTGCAATATTTCTCCTGGCTATCAAAATTAACTGTATAGATAAAAGAAAGTGCTGTGCATGTTCATCAGGATATATTGATCATTTAGTTATTTTCGTATTCCGGTTGTTTGGGCTTTATTTTTGATTTCAGTCTTTTTTTTTCATTTTGGCTGAAATACATTATACTGGTCTGTGTAGATGTTTTCTCATTGTTTATATAATTCTACTATCATTATTTTTGATGGTTGAAGTCTGTCCTCACCTGCTGTCATCGTATCAGTGCCTCCTTTGTAGTAGCAACGACCACAGAAATATTTGTGCACAAGTTTGTACCTGCAAATCCACAGTGAGAAAAACTGCAGCTGCATTTGAATTGAGAATCGGTTTGTACGTGGGAAATCTTTGTTTGCATTTCCTCTACCCAAAAAATGTGCAAGGTTTGGATATTATATTATAATCTGTGTTTATACATGCAGGCATACAAACAACAAAGGTTTTGAGCACACCGTTGAATTGCAAACGCAAATCACTTTGCATCTTCTTTGAGGATTTGCTTTTGCCATACAAATGTTTGCACATTTTTAGAATTAAAAAAATACAGACTTATGCACTTAACTGCCATAAAGTCTTTGTATTCATCTTTTTGGCTCACCATATAAATCCTTTACACCTCTAGTCCTTTCAGGAGGCCTTTAATTAACAAGGTTTATTTGTGTCCTTATGAAAACTTCCTGCACATTCATTTTTTAGGTACATTTTGGATTTTTAATTATTTTCTAACTTTCTACTTTCTATTCCTTATCTGATTTAACATACTGGATTTTCCTTGGAGGATTAATAAAGTTTTTCTTAATAGAATAGAATAGAATTAAACTTTATTGCCATTGCACTGTCACAAGTACAAAACAACGAAATGTGGTTTGCATCTATCCAGAAGTGCTATACAGGATATAAATATTATTACAGGTTTATGTACAAGCAAAAACTAATAGTTAGGGACTGTAAAAAGTTGTGTATAAATATAAATATGAATATGGGAGCTACATGCACAGATTATACAGAATATACAGGAATGTTAGGAAAAGAATTATATATGTATGAGCGGGTTTAATAAAGGTTACGCCAAAGTTACAGATTGAAGTCCAGACTGTGACCAAGCCACTGTTTGAATATCTCTTTTCCTCAAAAACCAAAAAATCCCGAGGTATAAACTGCGTTTTGTGTTTACTTAGGGTACCTGTGACATTATTTTTTGCCACTCGATTCAATACTGTGACAGAAAGGAGAAACACATGGTAACTATAATGGGGCAAATAGGTTTGTATAACTAGATAGTGCGTTTGTGCTCTGAGAAGGTTGCAAGTACCCGCTTCGATCCCCAGAGCCTGCACTCTGGGTCCCTGAGCAGAACCTCTGATTGCTCCCCCAGCGCCGCACAGTGGAAGCCCACTGCTCCCCAAGGGGATGGATTAAAATACAGAAGTGAATTTCTTCATTGTGAGATCAATGATGTTCAATTACTATTATTAATGTTACCATGAACGCAGTACGATATTAGTTTGCATTTGTAGGACATGTGATTTTTCAAATCTTTGAGTAGCAGTTAGCTCTGGTTTATCTAACAACCTCTAATAAGTTAATTTGCTCAGGCTTGTTTGCTTGCCTTATATTGTAGAGATAATGAAAAGCATTAGGGAATGAACATAATGAGCCTGTAATCCACTTTTACTGAATATTCCTAAATGTGTTCCCCAAGCTCTTTCTCTGTCTTTCCCCTCAAGCTAATGTTCTGTTCCATCAAATCAATGCTAAGGCCATAGTAATTTGGTTTGATTGAAATCCCTAGAGGACAAAAAACACCATTACCCTGAAAAAGTAACATAAAAAAAAAAAAACACACATCAGAAACGACTTTGTTTTTTTAATTTACTCTCCCACAGGGAAGGCCATATGTAGCGGATGATAATTGGCAGTTTGCTGATAATTGCTTCATGCTTCTTTCCCCTCATATGTTAAAGCCTACTTAGCATGCATCACTCAGCGCTTCTAGATTGATGAATAATTTTTTTTCTTTACCATTACTGATTATCTGTGTTTCTCCTCTCCAGATGAATTCAACCCTGAAGTCCCCAAGCTGGAGAAGAGCGTGAGTGGCAGCAGCCCGTCTCGTGACCGCCTTCTCCTCACCGTGGGGACCATGATCGTGTCGGCCATCCTGTTGTCCTAGCGACCGTACTCAGGAGCTTGTTGGACCACCTTGTCCATAGGGCTTTGTATCCCTTAAAGTTTTTTTTCGAGAAGATGTGAAAGCTAAATTAAACAAATGAAGAATATGTACAACGGATCCAATTTAAAGACAAAGCAAAAAGAAGTGAGGCCTTTTTTTTGCTGTCGTATTTACACCTTTCATGTGGGAGTGGTGACCACCTGGAGATTAGAACCACTACTCAGAATCCAGATTTTTGTGCTGCTCTCATTGGACACAGATGAGAGTTGTTTTGTAGCATGGAAGAGAAAACAGAACAGAAAATTTGAAGCTTCTCCCTAATTGGATGATGAAAGCAAGGTTTTTGTGTTAGCTTTGAAGAAGATGGCAACTTTAAACTCTGCAGTGGATTTTTTTAAGGCTTCGCCGCATCAATCGAACTTTGATGTAGTAAAAAAAAAAAAAAAAGACAAGATGGACTAGAAACTGTAACAAGGCCTTTATATGATTAGTGAGTAATCAAAACGACTGTCATTGTCCTGGACATTGTAGAATGTTTTCATACTGGTGTGTGGTAGCTGCTGGTGATAAAAGCCCGGAGGAAAGGGGGAGACTTTATAAGAATATCCACGGGCTTTTCAGTAATCAATTTTCTTCAGACATCAAAAAAGCTCTGGCTTTGTGATAGGCACAGATACAAAGCCTGCTTTTCTTCGAAGGGAGCCGAGTGCCCCTCAGAACTAGTCTTTTGTCTGCATTTCCTGCCTTCGCACTGTAACAACCCGAGAAAAATACAGACCCTGGACTAGTAATTTGATGGCACTTAGATTTAGTAGATGTGGCACAGACGTGTGTTTTGTTCCGCTGCATTTACCTCCAGCAATCGACTAAGAAAAGTTCCAGATGTCAAATCTTTACAAAAGGGAAAAAAAAAGAAAAAGGTCTCCTCACAGCAATCAGCACGGTTGTTCAGAAACCCCCCTAATTCGCAATTGTTCAGAAACTGTCAGCAGCAACTTGCCCTCTTTTCACTCCCAGATTACCTGTTTTTTTCCCCTCATTTCCACTTCAGGGGCTCCCGGCCAATCAGGGCTGATAGCCATTGAACCAGTCCCAGTTACCAAGGAGACAGCCTCATGCAGTCACCAAAGTTTGGCACGTCCCTGAGGAAAAATTATGCTTAGAGTATAAATCTGTAGTCATAGAACAATAGACCCAGTATGAGCATACAGATTGTTCACCATGTTGTGAGAGGCATTTTTGGAAGAACAAAAATTAAATAAGAAAGTTCTGTTTCAAGATTTTAAGGTAAAGCTGTGTGGAACATGGCCTGCTATTGCTAGGCATTAACATAAGGTTACAACAGGTAGAAAATCAATTGAGTGCAAGTCCAGAACTTTTAAAAACTTCAATTGAAAAAAAGCAAGGTGAAATATAATCCAAACCTAATTACTGTGAAGACCCAAATGAATCACACCCCAGGGAGATTTAGAGGAAGTCTTTATTTCTAACACTTTTGACTAATGATAAAATTATGATGGAGAAGCCAATTCAGTTTCCTAACTTGAATCTCAGTCTATGAAGGGAAGCTAGAGTGTGATAATATCCCAAGCTGAATCACATGGTTTCCATCAATAAAAATAGTTATTCAACTGATGAAACCGTTTCAAAAGCTGGTAAAACTTGAACTGACCCTTTTATTCATTATTTAGTTATTATTGATACTGCTGCTACTAATAATAATGATAATGGTGATTTAATACCCTTCAAAATGATTAACAGGTTTGTAATAAGATACTAGGCACAGCAATCAAACCCTTGTAAATGTTGATGCCCTTTCTTCTGGTTTCCATAGGTGTTTCGCTTTGGTTAAAAGTTCCAAGTCTTTTAGGTCGGAAGGGCTCCTTCCACTCCCCCCTAATCTCTAGCTCCCTATACTGACTCTTTATCAGATTCCAGTCTTTAACTTAATATTTCAAGTAACAATTCCAAGCTTATACAGTAAAAAATTTGATTTTAGAAATACGAAATATTCACAATATTTCTTATTTCTAAAGATGTGCTGATGTATCATCTCCGAGGGGCAACCTAGCCTACTCCTCTGTGTCTAAAATTAACAATGACACCATTAAAAAGAACAAAAGATAAATAAAATGTGTGAATGTGAAACTTATAAGAAGTTCTTTTATACTGCATAGGAAAACCTTAATCCAATGAAAACGTTGTGCTTTTTTTTATTTATTTACTTTTCAAATGCTTTTATTTTGACTTTAAATTGTATTTATCTACATAATTTATTAATGTGCATTCTTAGGCCTTTGCTCAATAAGCTACAGTGCCATTTTTTATCTTTTTTGTTTTAAAAATGTTGAATTTGTACTGCGGTATTTTGCCTGTTTAGACAAATAGATGTAATTTAGCCAGTCACGAACAGAAAGCTATCGGCTATTAAGTCAGTGCATACACTCAATAAGCCCAGCCTCATGTAAAAAGAAGCAACTAATGATGTTGCTGAGCAGCATGTCATAAACCAACTGGGGATGCACAGAAAGAGCTTGTGTCGTTGGATCCTGCATTATAGTGTACATTTGAAAATACATGCAGGGTACTTGAATGTGTATGAGTGTTTAAATGCGGGAGCGTTTTGTTCTGCTTTTTTTTTTTTTTTTCATTAAACAAGCTTTTATTAAAGCTACAGTGTGTTTTTTTCTTTGTTTTTTTTTTTTTTTTAGTTGTGTGGGAGTAAATGAGGAGATGTATGTAAGTGGAACGTGTTTGTCCGCGCTTTTAAAGTACGTGGCATTTAGGAAATTCGCACCAGTTTGCGGAGTCATTTGTAGGATCTGAATATGCAAGCGTGTATGAGAGAGAATGTGCTTTTTAGTCATGTTAGTTTATGTTACACAGGGGGGGCTGGGACGTCGACAAAAGCATTTACTTTTACTGAAGACAACCACAAGACGTGTTTACGTTTGACCTGAATGAATAAACTGTAAATTAAACCAAGAATGATCAAAACAATGATGATTAAAATCTTTTTTGCAAACTTGTTTTAGTCTGTTTTTCTATTTAAATCAATCCCAAAAAATTTACCTGAAAGTGAAGTCGACTTGTCTGTAACTGATTCTGATCATTTATTTTTGGTTTGCAGATTTAGAGTCTTGGTTAACTGATCGACACAAGGTACCACAACCTTTATTGAAGCAGGAGCTTTGACCCTTTACTTGTCTGGAGCATACAGGTCAAGATCAGCAATTTTGGTGAAACATATTTAGCCGATTAGCAATCTTAGAACATGTAAAAAAAAAATCTCTAAAAAACGTTGTCATAAGTCATCACTAAAGCAAACTTTCAAACCTTCTTCCAGACTTCCCCAGCAAGATCAGCACAAGGTAAGCAAAGGTTTGCAAAAACCCTAAAAGGTCAAAATAACAATCTTTAAACATGCCATGAAATGTACTGTGCTTTTCTAAAGTATTTATATCAACTTATACAGATAAAATCCCAAAAAATAGAGACCTTAATGGGATTTTATGTGATGGGCTAATAAAAAGTAGTCCATAACTGCAAAGCGGAGGGAGAAGGATAAAAGTGGGGTGTCTGTTTTTGGTTGTCTTTCTTCTTATTCCTATGAATAAAAGCCAGTAAAAAATAATTACTCCCCAAGTCATCTGCTTGGTACAGTAGATTGAGTCCTGTGTGTAATTTAAATTATGCATAGCCTTATTGAATTATGGCAAGACAAAAGACAGCATTGAAAGGGAGTCATAATAGGTCCCATTTTTAAATTTGGATACATGAAACCTGTGGAAGAAGCTGGTCTGCCCCAATAAAAACGTGGATGGTGGGGAGCTATCTGCACATTGCCCAGAGAAACACTTATCCGACTTTAAAAATAGTGGTGCCATTTTCTCAGGGACTGGAAAACTATCAAAATAAGCATAATTCAGGGCAATCCTGGAAGAACACTTGGATACTCTAACAGGTTTAAACCTGGGCAGGATATTCACATTCAAACAGGATAATTACCCTTAGCATGCAGCCAGTGCATTGAAGGAATTGAATTATATTAAAGAATATTCACGAACTAGTATGTTTCCTATCAAAGACAGAAACTAATCCAAACCAGGAATCTGGCTAGACATTAAAATGAATGTTAAGAAATATTTTTTATCCATCTGATGGAGTTTAACCAAGTACAATATGAACACCTCTTTAGGCCCTGTAAACGTTGCACCTTCACATGGTACAGCTGAGATCTGAGTCCCTTCTTCTGTTTGTGCATTAGAATAAATGGCTAATGGCAAAGATGGGCTGATGTTGGAGGAGTGAAGATTCAGGCTTGGATTTTAGCTAAAGGTGGGAATACACTGTGTTATATTTTCAATTGTTGTTCTCAGCTACAGCTCAAATTGTAAGATGAAACTGCAGCATTTAAAAGTTCACAGATCACGATGTATGTACTTACGCTGTACGGCCCAACACTCTGATCTGCTTCATGTCCAAAAACCACACATCGGACTCAGCGCCGAGAGACAGCGCTGGTCGGACTGGTCAATCTGGAAGGAAGAAGAAGAGATCCCTTGTTCGCACATGCGCAGTACATGAGGTTCAAGTAAATTGGCTAGTAGACGCTTGTAGCTCTGGTTCAACAGCATGATTTGCTAACTAACGAGGACCGATTGAATTTCAAACATGTTTAATTTTTCCGGACCTCACAATTCCTGATCGGCAGGTGGTCATGAGAGGCTGATCGCCCTTCGATACCGCCTGTGTAAAACATGAAACAGGATGTACGATGAGGCTTGAAACTCGGTGCTATACAATTCTTGCACAACTGGAGAATCGGCACTAAAAGGGCAAAAAAATCGTATAGTGTATGCCTTTTAAGACTCAGGGCACCTAACAGTCTTTATGTTGATAATGAATTCCTTCTTATTTTAGAAGTCAAAAAACAACCACACTGTTGTTGTACCTACTTTTTTTCAGGTCAATGTCATTAGTCATGGAAATGTCATTTTTTATTTGAAAAATCCACAAATAACTGAATTCCCAACTGGATAAAAACACTTTTAAAAACTGGTTTGTAAGAGATTTGATTTTCTTATTTCCCAAAGCTTCTAATATAAAAACCCCCACCATGGCTCTGTCCTCCCATCTGGTTCTTTTCCTCATAAAGTCTTTCCTTTTAGATATACACGCTGTAAACAGAGTTATAAACACTTACGTTGGACATAAATGATCACTTTTTGTCTCTTAGACCATCTTTAGAGCCTCCCACCTTAGTTTAACAAACAGCACTGCCAGGAAACATAATCACAGCCTGTGGTGGAGGCAGAATCACATCTCCATGTTTCCCTATTCTGTCGCTCCGTCTGAAAGAAGAAAAAGAAAAGAAACACCTGCAAGCTATTCATGTCTCTGCAAATCTGCCACTCCACGTTGCTCTCCTTTCCCTCCACTCTTACCCGTCGGCTTCTTTCTGATCTTCCTACACAGCCCTGAAAGAAGGTGACAATGTGAGGGACACGTTTCAGATGTCTAATGTCCATGTCAAAAAGGGACAAAAAGGGACAGAGGAGATTTTTACTTTGATGTTGCACATCAGACCTTAAATCACTTGTGAAAGAGGAAAAGGAAGAACAATGGTTTCAGAGGAGCACTGGGAACCTCAGACCTGATTCAAATGTTCGTCCTTATAGCTCCACATGACATTATATATTTATATTTTTATATATATATATATATATATATATATATATATATATATATATATATATATATATATATATATATAATCAGAACTTCCTTTTCACTCTGACATTTATTTACCTTATCTGACAAAATGATACAGTATTTGCTGAACATAAGAGAAATCTCTGCTTATTGTCCCTAAATATTTTAAAAGGTCTTAAGATGTTACCTATACATAGAAAATGATATGTAGAAATAGGTGTTTTAGCTGCTGCTCCTGAGCCTGAGCTGACAGCACATATTGTAGTATATAGCATATTTGTTATATGTACTCTCATTTTGGGGAAAATAAGCCTTATTTTTTGTTTGCTTCAAGGAGCTTCTTATTTGAAAGATTTAAGGGCAAAGTCACAACTTTCACTCTAATCTAACCTTTTTTCTTTGCTCAATATGATACGATTGGTCTGTGAAAAATTATTTTAACAAACCTCTGACATGGAGCTTTGTGTTAAAAAAGGAAGAATAGAAGAATTGTGTGCAAAAATCTATTTACTCTTTTTTTATCTCTCCATTTTGTCACAATACAACCACATACTTAAGTGTATTTTAGTTGGAAGTTCAGTTTTTTGCCATGATCTTGGCGCTGATTCATTCACCTGTCTAATTCCGCCCGGTTCCCCGCTACTGCCCTATTGATCAACCTGCTACTGTCATCAGATTAAGATTATTATACAACATCTCTAGCTAGTGGTGAGGGTTTTTCAGTGTTACCTTAGTGTTGCTGATTACCACATCCTTACCTGTTCTGCCTCTCAACCTCTGAGCCTGCCTGTTCCTTTCTGATCCGTTTGCCTGACCTGTTTTTGGACTCCTGCTGGATTCTGCCTGCTTAATGTACTTGGAGCCATTTCCTGTCAACGACGTTGATTCCCCTTTCGGAACCTCTTCGGACTTCTGGTCTCCTGGTTATGAATCTTGAGCACGTCCTCGACCCTGGCTTTGCCCTCTTGATTTTCCCTGCCTTCCTCTGTCTGCCCGGTTCTGGTCTCCTGCTTGTTCTCTTACATGCATTCTTCCAGGGCTGCAGCATCTGGGACACTCTGGCGGGACCCAGTCAATTTGTTGGCAGCCCACCGGCTTGATCTTAACTTGTTCTCTGGGCTTGACTGAACTATTAAACCACGTTAGTGACTGGCACATCCTCCGTCAGATTATCGTGGTCACTGTGTTTCCTCTTTCCAGAGTTTCCTGCCTCAATACTTGGTCCTCTTTTCTGAGCCGTGACAGTTTTGCTGTAAGCTAGAGAATAGCTGTGAAATGGAAGGAAGATGATGAAATATGTAGCGTAATTTTTTATTAATTCCCCTTTACTCTGCTGTTACTAAATACATTTTATTGCTGCCAAATAACTTTTAGAGATCCAATTTGAAACTATCCCACTGAGCAAACAATGGTTGAAAAGATATTGAAAGATTACATGATTTACTTCCAAACGACGTCTACATTTAATTAAAAAAGGTGAAAAGCCATAATTCTCATATCATTGAAAAGACATTGAAAACCCATTGAAAACATGAAGCTATGCAACTGTCTTTTCTAACAATCACTGAACCCCGTATTTACACTTTGTCCAAATTGGCTGCCAACTTTGCAGCAGTTATCCCAATGTGACAGTAAATTAAGGTACTTTAGAAAACAAATGTCCTGACCAATATGGACAGAAATCGTTTTTTCATAAAAAAAAAAAAACTTGCAACAAGGAAGCTACAGAACTGTTGAAAGAAACCAGAAGACATTAGGTTAGAGATTGTGTGGCAAAATCTTCAAGCTGCCCCAAAGACACCTACCCCATAATGAAACATGGAACCCTGTGATGGCTGTGAAGAGGACATGAGTCACACGCCTTCCTACTTTTGACATCCTTCACCCAGGGAGGCAGTTTGACAAACAAAAAGGTTGAAGCTGGTTT